TGTGATAAAAACAGCATGGTACTGGCAAAGAAACAGACCTGAGGACCAGTGGAACAGATTAGAAGATGCAGAAACAACTCCAGATACACTCAGTCATCTCATCTTTGATAAAGGAGCCAAACACCCTCACTGGAGGAAAGATAGCTTCTTTAATAAATGGTTCTGGAAAAATTGGGTTTCAACTTGCCAAAGATTAAAACTAGACCTATATCTGTCACTATGCACTAAACTAAAATCAAAATGGATTGAAGATCTAAATATTAAAACAGAAATCCTGAATTGGCTGGAAGAGGGGTTGGGTCAAACTCTTGAAGACATTGGTGTAGGAAAAGATTTTATGAACAAAACCTCAGTTGCCCATGAACTAGCTCAAAAAATCAACAAGTGGGATCTCTTCTTATTAAAATGCTTCTGCACAGCATAGAAACCACCAACAGTGTTAAGAGACAACCCACAATATGGCAAAAATTTTCACCTGCTGTTCCTCAGACAAAGATCTACTATCTAGAATCTATAAAGAACTTAAAAAAATTAGACCTCCCAAATTTAAAGACCCAATCCGAAAATGGGCATCTGAAATGAACAGACATTTCTCAGACAAAGAAGTATAAAGAGCAAATAAACATATGAAAAAATGTTCGACATCACATGCAAATGAAAACAACTCTGAGATTCAACCTCACCCCAAAAAGAATGGCTGCTATCATGAAATCAACCAATAACAAATGCTGGCAGGGATGTGGGGAAACAGGAACACTGCTCCAATACTGGTGGGAGTACTGACTGCTGCTACCACTGTGGAAATCAGTATGGAGATATCTCAAAGAAGTAGGACTGGAAGTCCCATTTGACCCAGCCATTCCCTTGCTGGGTATCTTCCCCAAAGAATTGAAAGAATTGTACCACAGTGATATACGTGCACCCATGTTCATAGTAGCACAGTTTGTAATAGCTAAATCTTGGAAGCAGCCCAATTGCCCATCAACTGGAAACTGGAGAATGAAAATGTATTTTTTTAATAAAACGGAGTACTATCAGCCCTAAAAAATGAGAAATTAGAGACATTTATAGCTAAGTGGATGCACATTGAGGCGATACTCTTAAGTGAAATAAATGATACACATGTGTAAATACTGAATAGACTTAAAGTTATAATAGATACTGTGAAATAGGGAGAAAGGTGCAAAGAGGAAGGGGAAGTGGGAGGGGTAGGGGAAAGGAGAATGGAATGGAATTAATATGAGAAAATGAAAAAATGGAAATTTTGGAAAAAATGGAATTTCTTTGTAAACAGGGAGGGATGGAGGGGTTAAAGGGAGGGCAGGGGAATGGGGAAAAAGTAAGAACCAAGAGAGATTATGTAAAGGTACAAATTTCCAATGATGAATGTCATTATATTGTATACCTAAAGTGTACCAATGAAATTAATTTTAAAAAAAAACTGTGACTTGGGCCAGCAACCAGATTTTCCTGCCCAGCTTCTCCATCTGAATAACCAGAGTACTGAATCTCATCTCAAAAGCCATATCATTTTATTTCCCCTGTTCTCCTGCTCCCTAGTAGATGTAGGCCAAGTGTGCTAAGACAGAGTGGGCCTCGTAGAAACAATTAAGACAAAATGCCTTGGGAAAGCCAACGAAGCTGGCCAAGTATCTCTAGAGGGCTCAAATTTGTCCCTCCCAAAGCTCTGTCCATATCCTAACCCTTGCAAGTAATGAATGTGACCTTATCTGGGATAAGAGTCTTTGCAGATGTAATTAAGAATCTCAAGATAAGTTCACCTTGAATTATTTGGATGGGCCCTAAATCCAATGACAAATGTCCTTGTAAAAGACAGAAAAAGAGAAGACAGAGTGGAGGGCAAAGTGAAGATAGAGGTAGAGATTGGAGTGATGTGGCCACAAGCCAAGGGATTCCTGGAGCCACCAGAAGCTGAAAGACAGAAGAAAGAATTCTCCCATAGAGCCTTTGGAAGGACTGCAGCCTGCTGGCGACTCAATTTCAGATTTCTAAACTCCAGAACTAAGAGAGAACAAATTTCCATCATTTTAAGCCACTCGGTTTGTGACAATTGTTTATGGTGCCCTAGGAACTAATACAGGGCTAGTGTGCTTCTCCTTTTTTTACTCCCCAGGGACCAGAGGCACAGGCTGTCCTCAGGCTGCACGGGGCTGTGCCAGGCAGATTGCCACATCTCTTCTCCACGGATTCCAGTATCAGCTCAGGAAGACCTGGCACAGGAGCTTTCCTGAGAGCTACTGTGCTTTTGGGTGTGTATGAGTTGCTACACCAGGGACAGGCAGTTCACTTTCCTGGCTTCACTGTGTATTTCACCTGCTCATGGTAGCATGGGAATCTACACGCCAGAATTCAAGTCTGTGTTGCTTGGAGGAGTGACTGCTCCACATGTAAAACTTTGGGAAGGTTTGAGGAGTTGAAGTTTTCTGGGCAAGGATTATTGTGAGTCATTGACTGATTTCTGCAGAAGGCAGAAGAAAAGAAAAAAAAAAGGACAACGAAAGGGATGCTTGTCCTATTGTCTTCACCTGAATCTTCTTGGCCACCTACCAAGGGCTTCTGGGCATATGTTTGCGGGGGGATCAAATGGAGATGGTGTGTGGGCGGATACAGGCCAGACTGTGAGGGAAGATTCCAGCAGGTGACCCACCTTTCTAAGAGCTGTCAGTTACTCCCACACTATCCTATGATTCTCCAGCTTGCAGTGCCTTCGTGAAAAGAGAGACTGAGAGATGACCTGGCTGGGGCATGTGTACTCCACAGCTCCCACCCCAGGTGTGGAGCACTGACACAGCACCTGCCCATACGACAGGCCCAGGAGGGGGGTGAGAGCCTCAACAGGGCTTTCAAGGATCTCTGTGACCCATCTCAGGCTCATCTTTGATGCTTACTTCAAAGTAAGCCCCTCAGCTTTGCTGACTAGCTCCCTCTGCTCATCCTTGCTTGCCTGTTCATCTGACCAAGGCTCTACCTTAGTCATCCCTGCTTTGGGGAAGTCCTTAGGATCTACACTGGGCTATTTGTATCTTGGTGGGCATTAAGGCACTGTGACATTGCTCCATCAGAGCATCTGTTTCACTAAATTGTGGATTTTTTTTTTCCTACCTGCCATTACCTCCCACATAAGCTCTGTGGAGGACAGGCAGCATGTATGCTTTTGTCTCTTTTTTGCCTTATGTATCTATGATCATGCACATGCATATTAATACAGTCTCAGGCATTACATGTGCATGAGAGTAAAAAGTAAATATCTCCCTCCCCTTAACTGTACCATCACTCAATATCCCAAAAGATAACATCTAAAAACAGTTTGTCTCTTTCTAGGTCCACATCTTTCCATTCACAAACATGTGTACATACATTCCATCCCTCCATCTACCCATCCATTCATCCGTCCATCCATCTACTCATCTATCTATTCACTTTATGATTTTCTACATTTTGTTTTTTTTTTCACCTTCAATATTATATCTTGGAGATCTTTTAATCTCAATGCACAGTGATCTACATAATTTCATAGTGTCTCACTCACTGTTGGATTGACAAGCTATTTCACTGTGATGAGCCAGACATTCATTTGTATGTACCAGTGCACAAAGGCTAAGTATTTCTTTTGGACAGATACAGTTGTTGAGCTACCTCTTTAACCACTCTGATCACTTCCCTCCTCTATCTTTGCCTCTTTATCTGCAACTTTCTCATATTTGCTTCTGTCTTAGGGGCATTTTCCTCTTATTTTGAGCTGTAGTTTCTGCTAGACTATAGGTTTATTTTTCTACAGATTTGGGGTCTTTGTATATTTCAGAAATTCCTTGAATCTCTGGTCAGTCTCTTGTGTTTTCCAGTTCTGTTATGAACTCACAGAACACATACTTCTTGTGAAGATTCTTGGGCTTTAGAGCTGGGTTGTGACAACTACTCTATATCCCATGCCAACCATCAGTACTTGACAACTGCTATTAGGAAAAAGTATCGAGAGATAATTTTTGCTTTTGGAAGTGACCAGCATTAGATCAAGGACAAATGTTCCCTTAAAGGAAATGGTTTTATTCCAGTTCTTGTGTTTGCGGATCATCCTTCCATTAACACTAACAAGTAGTTGCAAGATAACTGCCTCTGTGGGCATAAAAGTGGGATTGGTTTGAGGGAAAACATTTGGATCCTTAATTTCAATGTAAGTTCAATAAAAAGGCTATTCCTCCTTGTTCTTAAAGGCCTTGAAGCCAGACAGCAACAAGAGAATTTAATTTGAAAGTAAGTTGGGTCACCTGCTAATGGAAGTCAATTTGATGACCTGTGTCCTATAAAAGGCTAGTTTGGTGTACATGTCAGACCCCTCAGCTGCTTTTAAAATGTCCTTTAGAAACTGACACCTCTTAGGTTTAAAGGTATACATAACTGTTCACGGGACAGCATCAAACTGTTAATGGGACATGCTTGCAAACAAGCACACGGCCAGAACTCTCGGCTTCCATGTGCTGACTTCTGCCCGAGACGCCCAGAGACACCCTTGCAACCCGGCTCCTATTTACTGAACCCAAGCAGTCCCCCCTCTCCAGCCTGCACCATTCCCTGCTCCTGCTGACAGGTGCTGCAGATGTGAGGCCTGCTGGGCCTCCCTCGGCAGCCATCTGTCAGCGAGGCCTTTGCTCCTCCAGGCAACAGGCGTGTTGATAAGAATACACTTTCTGCAGTTGACAGACTTTGCTATTCAAAACACTGTTAAAAAAATGGCTATAGGAATTTAATTAGCAACTTTCATTAAGAGATTAGATGAGAAGAACAAAGAGAAACCGAGGGAAAGTCTTCCTAATAAAACCGGAGAAGCTGTAGAATTATTCATAGCCTAACAAAGGAAATGGAGAATCTGCTCTGTGAATTGTAAGAGGTGACAGATACATTCGGATGCTTTCTCAGGGCCTGGCTGGGCTCTGATTAATGAGGCCCCATGTAAAGGGCAGACTTGAGAGAGCACCTCTTACCTGCTTTGGTGGTAGCAGGTGTGGCTGCGAGCAGTGCAACAGTGGAGCAGACCCCGGCGCCTTTCAGGGTGGCTGTGTGGCTGCTGAGGTTCCCGCCAGTGGACTTGGCTCAGAGTTCAGGGACTGTCCCTGCACGGGTCCTCTGCTTCTCGCTATGCCATGGCTTCCAGTTGCTGCCGTTAGTCCTCTGATCACTGCTCTTGTGTGTGTGCTGGGTCAGTGGAGCTGAGAGAGTACAGATGGGCCAGAACAATCCTATTCCTTTTCCTGAGAAAATGAATCACACATTATTCCAGTGATTTGGCAGTATCATTGTTTTGTGTATGTCTTAGTCTGCTTTGTGTTGCCATGAAAGAATACCACAGACTGCACAATTTATAAAGAAATTTATTTCTTATAGTGTAGAGGCTGGGAAGTCCAATGTCAAGGTGTGCCTTGCGGGGTCATCCTGTAGCAGAACTCCAGAGGGTGAAAGGGAGGGCAAGAGGAGAGGGAATGGACTTCTTCTTCCTCAGGAAATTACTCCAGGGACAACCACTCCACTCCCACAGTCACAGCATGAATCCATACATTGGGGCAGAGCCTTTAGCCTAATTCACCTTTTAAAGGACCTACCTTTCAACACGTTGCGTTGAGGATTAAGTTTCTGACACATAAACCAAGGGAGACACAGTCCAGCTGTAGCAGTGTGTCTTTGGGGAGGGCAGGGCAGACATTCAGCCCTTATATATGTTCAAGGTCATTTTGTCTATAGCCTCTCAGTTTGACTAACAAAAGAAATGGTTGGTTCAAGATCCTATGGCGAAGACCCAAGCATGAATTCTTGCTTCCTTAATGCTAATGCTCTTCCTAAAAAATGCATAGTAAAGAAACCAAGCAAAGAAACAGGCTAAGGAGAATTACATTCTGGGAAGCAGGCTTTGATGAATAATACTACCAATCATTTCTTGCCAGTAACCACTCCATCAAATGAAACCTTTTCCAGGTCCCAGAGATAGAGATGGTTTCTGTGTTGTGAAATGTCTTCAGATTTTGATCTTACTAAAAAGCTGATAAATAGATTCACATGGGAATCACATAGGAATGCCATATAAGATAGTATTGATGAAAACAACTAGCTCATTATGCTTAATTTTAATCGACATAACCTCAGATATAGTAAGCTATCTTTATACCTTTCAGAGAAAGTCCTGGTATCCACAAGATATTCAAAAATATAAAAGGATTTAGGGCTGGGGATACAAACTCAATGGAAGAGCACTTGCTTAACATGCTTGAGGCCCTGGTTTCAATCCCCAATACAGTAAAAGAAATTGTATAAATTTAGGTTTGCAATAAAACCAACCTATGCTGTGAGTCTATCAGATGGATGAGAATGTGTGTATATAGATGCACACGCATGCTTGAGCATGCACACGAATATGTGTAGTAAAGTTAAAATGAAATTCTTGTGAGATTAACTATCCTTAACTCCAAAGTCAAAATTAGGTGACAAAAATGTATTAATTGACAATTGAGTCATAACCTACATACTGAGAATGCAAGATATCTTTGTAAGAGATTCCAGTTATTAAAAGGTTAATTAATTTTTTATTTCCAAGAAAAAATAAAGCTAATTCAAGATAATGAGATAGATGGATGGATTTAAGGAGAAAAAAGAGCTAGAAAATTGCTAATGGCTTGTCAAGAAAGCCAAAGGAAATTATCATCGTTGTCTTTTGTTCTTGTGACCTCAAAGCCATTTCTTATAGTTGTTAGTGTAAAATGAACGAAGTCAGAGCATGTGTGATTTCTACAGTTGCTAAATACAGCTGGTTCTACTTCATGTGGATCAGAATTTCTGCTCTCAAGCCTACGTAGGTTGACAGTGCCGCCCAGGATCCCTCACAGGAGCTGGACTTCCTCTTGAGTGTTGTAAGGCCGGGCATCCACCTGCTCCCCTTTCTTCATCTTCTCCAAGTACAGTCACTTAAGACTCACAGCTTATCAGTCTTTATAACTAAGATGGAGAATCACTGATCTATTTTTCCACAAAACAAGAGGGCTAAAAAAGCCACTGGCTATAAACATTATTTCCTGTATAATTGTTGGTAGAAAGACCCCTCTCCACAAAGTTCTCTCTCCACCTGTTCCACTCCAGGAAAAATGTCAAATGTAAAAGTTACCTCTCCCTGAATCTTCTTCTTTAGTCCAACTTCAGAGGTGAACACATTTCTACCTCTCCTATGTGTACCTGGGAAACAAAGGGGTTTGGGGGTCCCTATTGGCGTTTTAAGTGGCCCTGCTCATCTTGGGATTTCTTGGGTTATCAGCCAGGGTTAGCTCCTTGAGTTCTGTGCCATAATTTCATGACACCCTTTCAGCCCTCAGCCCCAAACATTGGAGATACAAAAGAAAAATAAAAAGAAAAGAAAAGACAGATAACAAATGTTGCCCTCAGAGAGTTTACGTTACAGTAGAGAGACAGGCAATAAACAAGAGAAGTGAATGCCAGGGAGTTTTCATCAGCAGAGAGGAAAAGAGCCCGAATTCCTTTGGATGTGGTCACCTAGGTAGGGTAAGGGTACTTCCTTGTGGCTCATGAAGGAGACTTTAGAAAGTTATCCCCATCTCTGGCTTGTATGTATCAGGGGTCCTTGAGAGGAATGGATACCAAGCGCATCCAATACTCCTTTATAGAGGGACCCTGTGATTTTTTTTCACCAACAAAGAAAAGCTTGCAGAGTTAAGACCGAACCTACAGTCAGTTCAAGGAATGTGTTCATGAAAATTAAATACCTTCTTAGATTTTTTTTTTAACCAGCATGAAACAGAAAATCTTGGAATGAGGAAGCATCCTTGGCTCTTGATCTTGAGAAGTCAGAGGTGACCAAAGCTATTTGGGGATAGAGAAAGTTATCTGATCTTCAGGGAACAGTCAGCCTGCTGTCCTCAAGATTACCCTCAGAGGGACAAGGCTGTCCCTCCATCCTGCAGTATCTCGTTTAAACTTATGTTTAAATAGCTATACTTAAATGATAAGGCACTAGCCTTTCACCTCCAGGATCCTAACTGGATTCAAACTCTAGTCTTCCAGGAAATGAGTTTGGTCGTCTAAGCTGAGCCTCGTAGACAAAAGTCCTTATCTCCAAACTCCAAGCATAATTCAGCCCATCATGGCAGGACTGGAAGTCTGCTCTTGGGAAAGAAACAGAATGAGCTGGGGTGGAAAGTAAATTACCGAAGTAGTTAAGTCAATCCTGAATTCAAATCCCAACTATTGAAATGATAGTTCTTTTCGGTAGGGAGGCAAAAGTGCTTTTAAGCACCACGCCTTTCTAGCTGCATCCCAAAAGGGGGAAAAAGTCACGTAGAAGAGTTAAGCCTCCAAAAATGAGGTCAAAGCTGCAAAGAAGCATAAGCTTGAGCACCTTAATAAATTTAAATTTTCTTTGAATAGTTTCCTTATCTACCCCCGAAGAATACCACATGTCTTTGCCCATATATGCTGCAAGCACCAACTGCTACTTTCATCTCCGATATACTTGAAGATGTCTAAACACACTGGGGAAATATCATGTGCAAAGATTGTGTGTTCTCAAGCAAATTTGGTAAATTTAGAATAACACAACCACTGTTGTCCCCAAACACTGCAAAGATAAAAATAGAATAGAGCCAAAAGGGGCTACAGAAGACCTGGTCTTGGGTTTACTCTGCTCGACTTAGAGACATAATTATAATTAAGGAGCTTGTATGACGTAGCCTATTGGGGAGAAATATGCTATTGAGGAATACTTTGACTACGGCGAATTGTTGCTTTCCAGGTATTCAGAATCAGGCATTATTTCCCCTCCTTTTGGCCTGCCCCCGCCCTTCCACATTCCATTTATCAAGTTAGCATTTTGCTCACAGTAAAACGGATGACAGTTTCATTACAGAATGGCATCACTTGTCAAACTTTGAATTACTGATCATAAAAATATCTGTTCTGCTTTGAAGGATTGTTGGAGGACTTCCATTTTTATATTTATATATGTATTTTTATCAGCGGGACTGTTTAGTGCAACATGCACGAGGAGAGAGCAGAGGGGAGGGAAAAAGAAATCAAACCAGGCTGAGGAGCCCAGGGTTTGCTGTGTCCTACCCATACAAACAAGCTTCTATCACAGCTCGAGACAGCAGAAATAAAAGAGAGCTTTTTGGCTCACAGCTATAAAAAAAATTATCATAGTGATGAAGTTCCTCAGCCATCAACAGAGCTGTGATAACGCTGTTTGATGATGATTTTCCCATGAATGTTAAACAGCCGCCACTGCGGAGGCAAAGGGGCTTATCTGCACCTAATGCTGATCTCTAATTCCTGCCCTTCTTGAACCATCCATTTTCTAACAGCATTAACTGGCAAATTTACATCCCATCTTAATGCTGCTAAAGAGGACAGGAGATGAAGAGCAAATGACAGCAGTGTAATGAGGGTGGCTTTTTTCTCCTTTCTCTTTAATGGCTGAAGATTTACACAATTGTCTGTAAGCTTATATAGAGAGCTTACCTGAACCTTTTCCCAGCATGGATTCAACTTACAGGAGCTTTTGTTAACTAAACACACATAAATATTTTTAAGGAGGTTTAATAGTGCGACTTCAAAAGAAAACCAAAGGATAGAAAAGGGAGGAAAATCTAAATGTCATAAATAACAGAAATGTCTTAAAAGGGCTAATGATTTCTGAACAAACAAGGTTGTAAGAATGAAATTCTATTAGTTTACCACAAAACCAAAAAGATTTCAAATAAGGAAAGATTAATTAAAGCAAGGATTTATAGAGGACCATGTTCCACAAGCCACCGAGACCCAGGATTTCTCTGATCATATAACATCCATCAAAATACTACCTGTTCACTAACAGGGTGTGAAGAGATAGAAGGTAATTTCAATGGTAAATCTGAATGTTGGGCGCTACAATTCTAGATGTGGGAAAATCCCATTTGTGCATCCAGATGATAAAAGTAAACCAAATAAAAATCACCATGGATGAGCCATTGAACATCACAGGCTAGAAACCTTGAAGTTGTCTTTGACGCTTCCTTCTCTTTCATCCTCTTTATCCAGTCCATTACCAATCCTGCCTTTCCTTCCTTTGAAATGTTTTTTTAAAAAATTTACTCTCTTTTTTTCTCCCACAACACTAACCCATTTCTCTAGTACTTCTCACTTTAAATATTGCAGATTCCCCACTTTCCCTGCTTCTAGTCTATGTGGCTCCTTCCGTAATATTATTAAAATAATTCTTCAGTATTTTTATCATGTTATGTGAGTTCTTAAAAAAAGCTATGCCTCCAACCAACACAAAGTGTAGCCACAATAATAAATCCTAGGCATGAATTTAATGACAAGTGTGTGAGGCCTGTGAATTTAAAACTACAGAACACTGCAAGAGGAAATTAAAATGCTAAATAAATGGAGAGTTGTGTCATATTTAAAGTTTAGAACAATAAATTGGAAAACTTTTTCTATAAAGGGCCAGAGAGTAAATATTGTTGGGTTTTGGACTGCTTTGATCTCTGGAATATTCTTTTTTGTTTTGTTTTTGTCACTGATTCAAAATGTAAAAGCCATTCTTAGCTTGGGGTCATACAAAGATAGCCTAGATTTGGCCTGAAGATCATAGTTTGTTGACCCCCTGGTTAGAAGATTCAATATTATTAGATGGTATTAAAATGGCAGTCTTCCCAGGTTGATCCTTGCAATAGTAACCAAAATTCTAACAGGTCTTTTAAAAGAATTAATAAGTTGATTTAAAAATGTTTGGAATTTTTTTTTAAAGTATGGAATTTATATATGGAGAAGTAAAGGATTTAGAATACCTAAGGCAATTTAGAAAAAAAAATGAAACTTGAGGACTTACACTACCTAATATTGTGACTTACCATGAAATTATAGTAATCAAGACAATGATATACTAAAGTAAAAATAGACTGAGGAAAAGAATAGAAGACCAGAAATAGACTCACAATGATGTGGCCAATTGATTTTGATCAAAGATAACAAAATAATTCACAGGAGAAAAGACAGTCTTTTCAACAAGTTGGTGATGGAACAACTGGACATGTGCATGAAAAAAATAAACCAACAAACAAACACATAAATAAATAAAAGAACCTTAACCATTCCTTAAAACTATGTGGGGAAATTAACTCAAAATAGAAAATTTTTCAAAAAGAAAAAATTGGCAAAATTATTTTAATGAAGATTTAAAAGGTTTGCCTTCTGAAAAATGTAATTAAAATGAAAAGGAAAGTCATAGACTGGGAGAAAATTTGGGAAACATAAACCCAACATTTGGCTTGAATCTAGAAGGTGCAAAAACAAAACAAAAAAACCTGCTTACAATTCAATAATAAGATAACCTAATTTAAAAATGAGGAAAATAATGGAATAGAACCATTGCAAAAGATGTTCAATGAGTATATGAAAATTTGTTCAATGTCACTAGTCATATAAGAAGTGAAAATTAAGCCAGGTATAGTGGTATACACCTGTAATTTCAGCACTTTGGGAGGCTGAGGCAGAAGGATCTCAAGTTTGAATCCAGTCCAGGCAATTTAGCAACTTAGTAAGACCCTGACTCAAAATAAAAAAAATAAAAAGAGCTGTGGATGTAACTCAATATGAAGGCTATGAGTTTAATCCCCAGTACTGCAAAAAAAAAAAAAAAAAGTGCAAATTAAAACTACAATGAGAAACCACTACATATCTTCTAGAAGCGATAAAGTAGGAGGATGGACAATAGCAAATACTGATAAGGGTGTGTAGCAGTTAGACCTCTCATATTTTGCAAAGCAAATTGGAATGCTAAATAGTACAGCCATTTTGGAAAACAGTACATTATAACATTAAACATGTATTTGTAATGAGATCCATCCACAGCTATTTACCTAGAGGAATTTAAACATTCATCCACTTTAAAATGTGCACGCAAATGTTGATAGCAGCATTATTGTTAATAGCCCAAAACTGAAGACAACTTAAGTATCTAATAGTTGGTGGATATACAAACTGAGCAGTATCCAATGGAATATTACATAATGCTAAAGGGAACAAAATATTTGTATATGCAACATATGTAAATCTCAAAACTATTATGCTCAGTGAAAGAAGGCAAACACAAGCAACCATTTAAGTGAAATTCTAGAAAAGACAAAATAAGAAAAGCAGAGCACTAGTTGCTGAGAGCTAGGCAAAGTGGGTGAAAAGGGGCATAGCCATAGGCTCTTTTTAGGGTTTGGCAACCGATGTATGCTTTGAGATCAGTACTGAATTTCATCACACTGTACATTGTAAACTGAAGAAATTCCTTGTATGTAAATAATATCTTAATAAACAAAAAGAGAGAAATACTACAAGTGAGCAAGTTTTGGTGTATTACCGAAAAAGATTGTCCCCAAATTATCTGAAAAGGCTATTAAAATACTCCACAAATTATCCACTATTAAAATACTCACTTTTTCAATGATGTATCTCTGTGACCGTAGACTTTCTTCATATTCTTCAGCCACTGCAACATATCAAAACATATCAAATACAGAAACAGATAGGAGAATCCGTGTGTCTTGTATTACGGTAGGCATGAAAGAAATTTGCAAAAATGCAAAATAATGTCATTCTCCTCCCTAGTTTCTTTTTGTACGGAAAAGATATTCTTCATGCAGGTATTATTTATACTTGCATCTAATAATCAAGATCATTTAATATTTTCATGCTTAGAAAATTTGTTTTAACTTCTATGTTAAAGATTTGATAAATAACCATTTACAGAAAAGCTCTTTGGGGTTCTCAGTCATTGTCAAAATCATAAAAGGGTCCTAAATCTTAACACTGCTGGCTGATAAGACTGACCCCAAACTAAGATTCAACAGTCTGGATAATGGGCACATTCGGATGAGTTGGGCTACGTTCTCACTACAGGGGGAAACTTCCTTCCAGCTGAGCTGGGGTCTCTTCGGTTCTGATTTCTAGGTTGGCCTCATGATCAGCTCATTCTGTTTACCTCAAGGCCATCTTTATTCCTATTGTGTGCATGACATGATACTTTTTTTTTTTTTTAATCCTGCAGTTTCTTCGACTGGTGGTGTTGGGGATCGTAATAGGATCGATAACTGCGCAGAGCTGCTGTGAGCTCGGAATGAGTTTATGCCAGGCCCTCGGAATGGCAGGCAGTGAGTGCTCAAGCCCCGGGAGGTGATGGTACAATTGGCATTGCTACTGATCCTTCGCTGCTTCTCTTTCATCTTTGCAAATGTTATTTCTCCGTGTTGCCTTCTCCACCTCTCCTTTCCCAAAACTCCGATCTTTCTATTAAATGTACAGTACCCCCTTGTTTTTGCTTTCTTTTTTTCTAATCGTTTAAAGCATTTTCCTGATACCTTTCAAATTATACCGAAAGCCCCTTTCCTTGGGCACGCTTTACTTAGCAAAGAACTGGGCAACAAAGAGGTCCTTAAATACTTACTGAGGTGTTGGTTTCCAACCCTGTAGTATGGGAACAATAGTGGTGTCTTTATTATCTACTTCACGGACATGTTGTGGTAATATATGCAATGAGATGTAATTTAATGGGAAAAAATCCGTAAGTCAAACCAGGCCGTCTTCTTTGTGTTTCAGTATGTCCTAGGGCCGTGATAAGAAATCTTTTCAGACACCAATTACTGTTCAACAGATGCCCTATTTCTATTTTCCCTTAGTGCATATTGAATTTTTCATACCTAACAATGCTGGTCTGTTAAATAAGCATTTGGAGAGAAAGCAAAACTTTGGCTTTTTATAGGACATATGAAGATGGCATTTTCTATTGACCTTGTTAAATACATTCGTACTTAAAATTTGTAATTGGCAAGTTTCTGCCCATGATCATCTTGGGATTGAAAGGATTAACCCATTAAAATCTGAAACAGACAAGATCTCACTGGCATGTTGAAAGTATTTTTGTAGCATTATTATCACGACTTTAGCCTGCACAGAATTTTTGCAGATATGGCGACCACTAAATTTGAGCCAAAATTCTGTTTTCAGTGTTAAGCCTGAGAAATCTTGAGCACAATCATTTCAGATTTAGGGCCCACCTATACCAAAGAAACAAAGTGCTAAGGGATCGTGCTAAATTGATTGCAGTGATCCTATGCACATGAGAGGGAGAATATTAATTCACTTAAGAAATATTTTATTGAGCATTGACTATGTGCCTACAGTAGAGATGCACCCAGAAGTTTGATTCTAGTAGCTGGAAACAGAGCACAAGTGAAAACTAAATAAACGAGATCATTTCGGAGAGTGATAAGTACAACGGCTGCAAAAGATAGGATTCTAGGATTGAGAACGGCTGGTCCTGGAAAGTTATTTGGATAGAATGAGCTCATTACTTCACAGCTATTCAAAATATATGTCTAAGAAGAAGCGGTAACAGGTGTTAGGGTGACTTTATTGTCTATTTGTACTTTTCTGTATTTTCTTCATTTTTTTACTTAGATGTCCACTACTTTCATAATCAAATAAAAAACATGCAAAACTTTACTCGAATGCCAACCAAATTTAGATTGTGTTGACCCTATGAATAAAGATACCACAGAGATTTACAATTCTAAAAAGAACTATTATCTGTGGTTTTCTTATATTCATGGATTCAGCTGTCCGTTAGATAAGTGACGATTTGTAAAGCACATAGAAAAAATGCTTAACATTTGGTGCTATTTGTTTGCTAGATTAATAAACAGATAAATATGTTGAAATGATGTCTAATCAGTTTAGCATACAACTTGGGGGAAAAGTACTGTGTGCAAATCTGTGTTTAAGCATTGTGTGGTATAAAACAATGATTATGAGATTTTCTAAAATACGTATTCAACTGAGTATCCTATATTTATTTTCTCTCCCTCTACCTCTCCCTGTGTCTGTTTTTAAAATCTATCAGCCCTGCCTTTAAGAAACTTAAAAATCCACAAGGATAAGTGCACACAATCATCTACCTGTAGTACTAATATTCCTTTCTGTAGCAAAAACTGAATTTTTTCAGTTAATTCTGGTCAAGAAAGGAAGGGTTGCTTTTTGAGGTCCAAACAAATTTGAAGGGGAATTGAATTATTTCACCTTTATTATTGCACTACCTCTTTCTAAGGTGAGGAGTCTGAACATTAATTATCTCAGGGATGTGCACTGCTGTTCACGCACCGACTTCATAATAAACTTGTGGTTGTCTGGACGAATTATGGCAAGTTTCTGAAACGTCGCCCAAGAAGTGACACTCTCAACCCAGGCCTGGTGACCTGTTTGCACATGCAATTTCTGAGAATGGTCATCTACACACTCACCCTTTTTCACACTGTCATGGGAAACAAACAAAAACAAATTTCCTACCAGAAGATATCAGCTGGTGACATTAAACAAAACGCATCCATCTGGCCCGTTCTGTTGCTAAGGTGTTTCTCATATGAGAATATGGAATGCACGGATTCCCATTCCGGATGTGGTCACTGTGGACAGTGGGGTGGCAGTTGAAAAGGGTTTCTGTGGACAGCCTTGGCGCCATTTAAGTTGAGTTCACTTCTATTTAACAGAAGAATAATTTTGATAGCTTAAGAGGGTTTCTTCCAGCTATCACTTTTTGTTAACCTTTAGCTCCCCCAAAATGTTGGCTTCTTAAAAGCCCATTTGAAGGTACATTTGGGAAGAAAAAAAAAGCACAGAAAACTTTAATCTAGCATATACAGACTGCTTTCACTTTTCACCTTCTCATTCTTCATATCTCTGCTCGTTCAGCACTGCTTAATACAGATCCAAACAGAAAGTCTCCAACTTGTAGATGTACTTGGGTCTAAAATTTTACCTTTGGGTTGATATTGTGGATCTGATATCAATTTCTCTTATGGAGAAACATGTTTTAAATGGTTGTCAGGTTCCCAAATGTACTCAAAAGCCAATTTAACTTGATGTTCCTTAAAAATACCAGCCCAGGGGAAAATGAGAGTATATATGGAGAATGAATATGTTCTTGCTGGTGTACTGATTATTCAGCTCCAGAAAGATCCTCCATCAACTGGGTGCTTTCTGGAGGAGCCTTTTGTGCCTTTTGGACTTTGAATCATTGGAAATGTTAATCATTTTGAATTTATGCATCAACAAAATGAAAGCGCACTTACAAATGATAACAACAGGAGAGGAATACAGAAGAGAATCCCACCTTCCTGATTCACAGATGGTCCTTGAAAAATGTAGGCAACAACAACTAAAAGGAACTTCAGTCTTTTTATGCCTCTCTTCCAAGTCCTGGTGGCGCTGAGCCTTGCCCCAGGTCCTTATGACTTTTTTAAGCTCTCTCCTTTCTCCCTTGTAGCAACATCTATTTTAAGACAGCCTTCCCTCCTCTCCAAGTCTTCAGTTACTATAGTTATTTTGCTTCCTCCCCACAGCCCATCCAATTTCATATTTGCCCCTTATAACTAATTGGGAGGAAAGAAGTTGTTTAAATTGTTTTGCAGTCAGTGTGGATGCCTGAAAATTTCCAAACTTTCAATGAATTACTTGTGTGTTCTAAGGGGATGATCCTTAAAAGAAAAATTTAAAATTCAGGTTTTATAGGGTTGGCACATTTTCGATGTGGTGGGTGGTCCCCAAGTTAGTACTTCCTCTACACTTGCTGTTTTCTTTCACGTAGAAATGGACAGCTCCCCTAAAAGCTTAGGGGTTTCTCCCATGGTCACTCAAAGCAGTGGCTTGAGGGACCTCAGTGGAAGGGCTGAGGTACACATGCTGTTTCCAGCGTTCACCAAGGGGCAAACATCGAGGGACTGGAGTTTACACATCTGGGTGCTGGTCAGGCTGGTGGGGGCTGTGTGCGGTGCCAGGGTCAGAGCTTGAGCAAAGAAAGAGTTTCCTTAAAACTGTGTAGGGGTGGTGGGGCCAGAAGTCTAGGAGGCCAGAATCTTTGGTGTTCACTGGATTGAGCAGGAAAGCTTCCTTGAGTTTCAACACCAATGGACAAGAAGGAGAGAGCTGAAATGAAAGAAAAGTGTCCGAATTCTGTTGAAGCTGAGACCGGTGAGGGTGCTGAGAAGGAGGTATGGAGGAACAGCCATGAGCTGTGCTTGCCTATCCCTAGTCTCCTTTTATGACCATCAGTGAGTGGCTCGTGGACAAGTGGAATGACTCACAGGTACAGGGCTGCGTGCGCAAGGTGTACAAGCAACCATTGTTCTTTGCGTAGTTCTGCAGCTATGACCCCAACTGCCTGGTATTCTTTGTTCTGAATAAACACTTGGAAAATTGTCAGTGTACATTCAGGATTTTGTCCAATAGTACTGTGCTGTAAGAGGCCATAAAGTAGCATCTATGATTAGTCTAAAACTGTTATTTCCTCTTACCTATAGCAAAGACAACATCTTTTAAAGTTTTATTTTTAAAAATTGCTTTCTTGCTAGTTCTAATTGACAGAGAACTCAAACCTTCCCAACTTAGGAAGATATAATATGTTTGATTGTGGACTCATCTCTACCTAGGTCTGCTGGTACACTAGAAACCTCTCCCCAGGATCTAATGGGATTTGAAATCTCAACCTGGAGTGGACAAAGCCCTGGATGTCCCATAAGTCCTCAGCTGTGTTTTCCTTTACTCCAGAGAGAGACAAAAACCTCCATCTGGCCCTACTACTTCCAGCCTCTGCTACCTGGCGTTGCACTGGTACCCAATATAGCCCCAAGTCTACCCCATTCTCCTAGGCTCTGCCAACTCCAATCCATTTAAGCTAGCCCTATATCCAGATGTCTGTGGCTAGTCCCGAGGCTGGACTTGTCTACCAATCACCTAGACGTCTCTGCATATTGATAACCTTGTCCAGCCAGAATTCTCAACGTTGCATTATAATCTACCACCTGGACTGGTTATTGGAAATGTGTCCTCCATGCCTCATATTTGGGATAATTCACTTGAATCTCTGCCTGGCCTACCCTCTTCTTGACTGCTTCCCTCAAGCTGCTCCACCCCATCTTCTACCTCACTCTGGATTGCATGAGTTTCCCTGGCTTCTGCTAGAGATGGCTCCAGCTCATGAGGAGCCCAGGTTGTGGCTTTCAATGTGTTCTTTGGCCAAGAACTTGAATCCATAGGAAGATCTTACCTAAGCTTTCCTGTAGCCAGTACCTCTGTAATAAGAAGATCACATCTCAGAATCCATGTGCTGATAGTAACAATATTCCTACCAGGTTGTGAAGTTTGCTATACACCTTCTAATTTAGTATGCATAAAGCCTTGTGAGATAGGGAGGCCCAGTGTCATCTCAGCTTAAAGATGATAAGGCTAAGGCTCTGAGTTATTTGCTCTTGGAGATATAGTCATACAGTTCCTAAAGTGAGGAAGTGGCCAAGTCAAGAGCTAGATCTGGGACCTCTTTCCACTAAGTCATGCTGCAAGCCCAGTGGAGAGTCAAGCCTGGTACACTGCCATGTATGATGTTGATCAAGAAGCTGGGTGTTATATTTATTCTTTCATTCCGTCATATTTACTGAGGGTTCACTGTGTGCCAAGCACTCTTCTAAGCAGTGCTCAGGTTAAATGAGTCAACAAAAGGGACAAATCCTCTTGTCCTCCCAGCACTTGAGGTAGTGGTCTCTTTCTGAGGAATGCTAGACAGCCAGATCTGGTTCAGACATGATCCTGACACTTGCTTATCCTTTGCACCTGTGGCTCCAGGCCTACTCAACTTTGGATCTGTGACCCTGTGGTTTTCTGCTTGAGGACCCAAGGTAGGAGCTGACAGTCTCCTTTTGAGTCTCTGATTTGCTCACTGTCTCTCGAAGACCAAACAAGTGCAGCAAATCTGGACAGTGTGACTGCACATCATCTCAGAGATGTAGTAAGCAATAAAATGACATCTTACTCCTTCGTGTAGCTGCTAGAAAGTGCTGGTGATGCAGCAGATAGGGCATCTCCCAGGATCAGTATTACAAGGGAGGCTCAATGGTACCACTAAAAACAAAGCGACTCTACGAAGGGACTTGATTTTCAACTGGTTTTAGAAAAACTGTTTTACTGGTGAAAATCATTTTAGAGGAAAAAGATAAATGCTAAATCTGGGCTAAAAATACAGTATTTTATGGTCCATATTGAGCTTCAGCATAGCAAATAATACATAGTTGATTAGATTCACAAAATAAGCCTAAAAGATCTGTTATGTGCTATAATTATCTTAGACTCTTTTATAGGATGGGAGTATGAAAACCCAACTTTCTGTGCTGTCAGAAATGTTTTCCTTCATTCCCTTTTTTTCTCTTTTTCTAATCTTCCTTAAAATATTGGTGTGAATTAAACTCACCAAGGAGGAAATCAGGGAACATCTTCTATAATGCAGTTATGAAAATAAGAGCAGAGTTGTTATTACTCCCATCTGGAACACCAGATGTTTGCAGACTGGCATGGGAGTTACAGCACATTTCTGACCCCAAACTCAAGACCCAGTTAAATGTGTTTGAAACATTCTCTTTCCTGCTCCAAACATGTAAATGGAATTGAGCATGAGCAAAAACAAAAATACAAATACCTATCATCTGCTAAGAAGGCATGGGAAATAATCACGGGCACAGTCAAGTAGCTTAGCTGGAATCTGGTGGAACATATTGTTTATAATATGGAATGAAGGCAAAGAGTTTGGATCATGCCACGCAGACCTTGGTGGTTTAATAAAACCACACCCTGTCTGGCTACTGCCAATAGCAGGAAGTCTACCAACGGAAGCTTCCTCAGAACTTGATCTTGTGGTGTCAGAAATAATATAAATTTATCTTTATTCATACATCTAGATGGTCAAGAGTGGACTCATACAATAAAACTAAAAGGGCTTCATAATCAGCCATAATACTTCTGTGTCAATTATTTAAGTCCAAGCGGTCTGCTCATTTATCATCTGAACTTGGGAGTCTGAAGGACGTGTCCTCATTTGGAATCCCAGTTGTTACCACAATTTTGCTTATTCTGGATCTTTGGAGTGTGGCTCTCTTCACAGGTGCTAATGGGTGAAGACAGAGAAATATGATGCCTAGCTGGACTTCTAGATGTTTCTTTTATATATAAGATACTTGAGAAAAGCCCTTCATAATACCTGTGCCACTGGAGAGGTCTGTAATACGGTTTGTGGTTCAAAGATCAGAAAAAATATAGACTAATTGCACTGACCCATATGGTATAAAACAGTTCTTGTGACAGTTTGATGGCAAAGATATGAGGAAAGAAGTTCTGTGTAGTAAAGATCATGCGTCTCCTTAACTGTGGTGATAGTAAGATACAGATTTCAGTAGTCTGTGGCTCAGGAATACAATCTGTTGAAATTGTAGTTTTATGTCTAAGATGGAATATATTACAGGAATGACTTGCTGAATAAAACCTTCAAGAATTTCTTTTTAAAGAAATAATTGAACTTTAAGAAAACATAAGTTAGAAGATATGGG